TGAATTCTTTTTGATGTGTGTTGAATTCAGTTTGCCATTATTTTTATTGAGGATTTTGCAATCAATGTTCATTAAGGAGATTGGGCCTATAGTTCTTTTTTTGGAGTGTGTTTGCCTGTTGTGGGATAAGTGTAATATCTGGCTTCATAAAATTGTTTAGGCAGTTTTCCTTCCCTTTCTATTTCGTGGAACAGTTTAAGGAGGGTTGGTATCAGTTCTTCTTTAAAGGTCTGATAGAATTCAGCAGAGATCCATCAGGTCCTGGACTTTTCTTTTTAGGGAGAGTCTTGATTGCCGCTTCAATTTCATTTTGTGTTGTAGATCTATTCAGGTGATTAATGTCCTCTTGGTTCAATTTTGGATGATCAGAAGTATCTAGAAACTGTTCATTTCTTCAAGATTTTCAAATTTATTTGAATATAGGTTCTCAAAGTAGTCTCTGATGATTCCTGGATTTCTATGGTGTTTGTTTTTATCTCCCCTTTTGCATTCCTGATTTTACTGATTTGGGTTTTTTCTCTCCTCATTTTAGTTAGGTTTGCCAGGGGTCTATCGATCTTGTTTATTTTTTCAAAGAACCAACTTTTTGTTTCATTAATTCTTTATAAGGTATTTTTTTTGGTTTCTATTTCATTGATTTCAGCTCTTATTTTTATTATTTCTCTCCTTCTATTTGTTTGTTCTTGTTTTTCTAGGAGTTTGAGATGTATCATTAGGCCACTGATTATTCAGTCTTTTTAATATATGCACTCATGGCTATAAACTTTCCCCTCAGGACTGTCTTTGCTGTGTCCCATAGGTTCCAGTAGGTTATGTTTTCATTTTCATTGACTTCCAGGAACCTTTTAATTTCCTCTTTTATTTCATCAATGATCCATTGGTCGTTGAGCAATATGTTGTTAAGCTTCCATTTGTTTGCATGTTTTCTACTGTTATTTTTGTTGTTGAGTTCTAGTTTTATTGCATTGTGATCAGATAGAATGCATGGTATTTCTTCTTTTAGATTATTCTTGTGGGCTTCATTGGGCTCTTTGGCATAGTTTATGTTCATTTTGTTGGAGTCTGGATCTGGGCATCTGTTTTCTTCATTTCCCTCTCGTTCCTGTACTAATTTATTGCTGGGGGGAAACTGGTTTCCCTCTTTTTTCCATCTTCCCATCATTGCCCTTGCTACTCTTACTGTTCCTGTACTGTGTGTAATTCAGTATTGTCTAGCTTGTAATAGTAACAGTGATGATATCTAGAATGGAAGGGTGAGAGGAGAGGGAAAGCATGCCCCTTTTGTTTTCTCCAGTATATAGCCCTACCTGCCTGTTGCAATTGCAGTCCTTTTTTATTTAGAGTTCTCATGGGGAAGTGCCCCTCCCCCAGTCTCTGGTGGAGCATGTCACGCTTTAGCTGCTGTTGGACACCTTCCCCTCTCCAAGTGCACTGGGGGAGGTGGCGCCACACCGCCTTCTCAGGCTGGCTTATTTATTTACAGTTTACATGAGAGAGTGCCCCTCTGGAGCTCAGGGCACCCCACCCTCTTTGCTATGTGTCTTTTTTTTTCAGCTGCTTGTTTATTATTCAGTTTGTTTTTTTCTTTTTACCCTGGGTGGGGGTCAGTCTGTCCAGGGGGCTATGCTGTTTTGTCCCAGGGAGTACCACGTGCTGCTTCTTTGCTTACCTGGGGATCTCCCAAGCAGGTTAGGAGCTGGCATCTGGCAGTGCAGGAGCCCTCCTGGTTTCTCTGTTTAACATGGCATGGGGATGCTATGCACAGGCTGGGGGTGTGGAGGTGTCGGAGTTTTGCCTCTTCTTGGTAGTTTTTCCTGCCAGGTGTATCTCCAGCATCTCTCCAAGAGTTTAGTTTAGGAATCATGCTTTCCAACTGAGGCCAATAGGAAAAGGGGACCAGGAACTAGAGAAAAGGTTAGATCAAGAAGAATTAACCTAAAAGGTAACACCCATGCACAGGAAATCAATGTGAGTCAATGCCCTGTATAGCTATCCTTATCTCAACCAGCAAAAACCCTTGTTCCTTCTTATTATTGCTTATACTCTCTCTACAACAAAATTAGAAATAAGGGCAAAATAGTTTCTGCTGGGTATTGCGGGGGTGGGGGGAGAGGGAGGGTGTGGAGTGGGTGGTAAGGGAGGGGGTGGAGGCAGGGGGGAAAAATGACCCAAGCCTTGTATGCACATATGAATAATAAAAAAAAAATTTGAAAAGTAGATAGAGATAAAATTATCCTTATACTGGAAAAAAAAAAAACAGCCCTTGAAAAATTAAAAAAAAAAAAAAAGGAAGCATGCTTTCTGCTTCCTCCCTCTAGTCGCCATCTTCTCTACCTCCAAGAAACAGTTCTTATACATGGTTAGATGACCCTTAGGGTAAGTCTTTTTCTACAAGACAACTTTATGCTAATGTTAAGCTCAAGTCTTTGACAACAGGCTTCTATTTAAATAAAGAAAATATTTCCAGTGATTCCTAGCATATTTCATAGAGTTATTTCAGGTCAAGATGCTGAACATGAGTCAGGCACCAGT